CCAAATTTTTTAATAAGAATGCAAACCCAGTCTTTATATCTAATATTTTGAGCTGTTTCTGATCAAAATGGAGATTTTATTTTGACTCTAAAAAGTTGCTAGAACATTGTGTAGTCTTTGGTGTTTCTGTTTTTAATCAGTGGCTACAGTATGTGTGGTAATCTGTTCTGTGATTTCACAAGTTACGAAACAGTACTGACTCACAAAAAATATAAGATGCATGCATACAGTAAATATATGAATAGTAAATTATGTAAATTCAAAATATGAAACACGTTACTAATCAACATTTCAAATCATTGACTACTCCTAATATCTGGGGAAGCCATAAGATGAAAGGTATATACCTCTTGTGGAGTAGACTATTACTGATATCACTGGTGGGACCAAGTATACTTGTTACATATGTATTATTCTTAATATGGTATATTCTGGTCCTAATGTCTTTTCTATATGGTAATCTCATTATTAATTCTACCATACACTGCTAGTGTTGTTAATTGTGATAATGTACATGTACACACATAATGTATTTGACTAGACTTGAAATCAATTGAATATTTGTAGCAAAAAGTAAATATAAATGGACTCAACTATACTAGCAATAATGAACTGTTAGTTCTCCAGTAGACACTGACTGTTCAACTGCTTCCTAGTTTCATTTCAGTTGTCTTCAGTGAATAGTGGTATCCCTTGAAATGATACCAATTGACACCATTGGCATATGAGGAATGAGACCCAACCAAATACAGACCATTGAGGTTTGAGAGATGACAATTCTTATACCACCATGCTCCGTCATAACTTGTTGCACAGTTTCCTGAGGAGTCGTCATTGTCTTGATCTTTGGTGGAGAACTCCGCTCCATTATGATAGCTCAGACTATCTCCAGCATTGCCTGCATATCCAGACACAGTCAGCTTGTACTCTGTGTCTGCATTCCCTACTTTAAAAGTAGAATAAGTAGCATACTTCTTATTCCCATCAAAATCTTCCAAGTCAGTAAGTCGGTTTATGTAATAAAGTCCCAGCCAGAACTCTTTATCGAGGTCTCCAAATCCATACTGATAGTCATCCCAGTTGAGGTAGAAGTCAGTTTTATCATTCATTCTCCTTTGAAATACAGTCCATCCACCTCCATTACTCATATCACAATAGACCTATTAAATACAAATTATATACTGCTACAGTGTATAGCCTCTTTATTAAGGACACCATTGGGCCCATACTACCAGTCCTTAATACATGTACAGTGTAGCCTCTTTATTAAGGACACCATTGGGCCCACACTACCTGTCCTTAATACATGTACAGTGTAGTCTCTTTATTAAGGACACCATTGGGCCCACACTACCTGTCCTTAATACATGTACAGTGTAGTCTCTTTATTAAGGACACCATTGGACCCACACTACCTGTCCTTAATACATGTACAGTGTAGCCTCTTTATTAAGGAGACCATTGGGCCCACACTATCTTTAATAGAGAAGTCTCCTCATTGACGTACTTTGTGTATAGTCAGGACATTAAATTGTCATTATTATAAAGGGTTCTATATACTGTTTATATTGAAATTATATTTACGTCAAAAGCTGGTAGATTATCAGGTTTCACAGTATATACTCCACTGCATACTGTACCATTTTTGTATGCTTCCTGACAGTCAAGAGGAAAACAACCTATTAGTAAAATAGATATGTCCATTCTTATTATTGTTGTTACTGTATGACATACCTTGTGTTGGAACAATAGCAATGCTAATAAGAATGAAGCATCCTATCAGCTTAAAATAAGAACAGGAATCCATCTTGTCTTGGTTTGCTGTATAGAACTAATACTGAACAATTCTTTTACTGTAGGTTACCAGTGATGAGTGTTTGTGTACAGCTACTGCTTTTATAACATACTGGAGCTTTATTTACTATCAGTCAAAATTATTGTGAATTTACTGGTCAAAACTATTGTGAATTTTAGATACTATTTATTGGCCTAAATTATTGTGAATTTTAGATATCATTAGTTACTACTATAATAAATAATAAATTTGGCTGACATATTTTTATTGCATGCAATATCTTGTCAGTAATAAAAATATAGATTACATAGAATAGAATGATACTTTTACTGATGATGAATATGCACATATTGTATGTGTGTGTTATAGTCAAGTTACAAAATAAAGTTCACACATTTGTTGATCAAATCTTCTAACATGAATGCAAATTCAGTCTTTTTATTTGATATTTTCAGGCAACAAAAAGTGTTATCACAGTGCTCATATATTTTGTAGAGAATTCGAGCTGTTTTTGGTTAAAATGGAAATTTTAATTTTTCTCCAAAAAGTTGCTAAAGCATTGTGTAGTCTTTGGTATTTCTGTTTTTAATCAGTGGCTACAGTAGGTGTGGTAATAAGTTCTGTGATTTCACAAGTGACAAGTCAGTACTGACTCACAAAAACATAAAATGCATGCATAGCTAGAGTAAATATGTAGATAGTAAATTATTATGTAAATATAGAATATGTTACTAATTAACATTTCAAATCATTGACTGCTGTGGAAGCCATAAAATGAAAGGTACTATACACTTGTAGGCTATTACTGATATTACTGGTGGGACCAAGTATACTTGTTACATACATGTACATGCTACATGTATTTTAAGCCTTTTCTTATGATAATCTCATTATTAATTCTACCATATACTGCTAGTGTTGCTAATTGTGATTATGTACCATGTACACTCATAATGTATTTGACTAG